GACCACTTGTCCACTCGGCCCCCCCCTGAAATATTATGAAAAACAGAAATAAATATATCCCACGTTATATCAATAAAACTGATACGTCCTATATATTTATATCGTTGACTAAAATATGCCAAGTAATTAACACGTTGTCATATCATACTATATATAAAATTATGATACAAGTCCTATTAATATGAAATATATAAACGTTATAAAATATGACTAAGAAATGCTGGCATGTGCATGTCAAGATTCTAGTTGCATATAAATCAAACATTGGAATTGCCGCTTATTTGTTTATGAAAATCAGTTTGTAAACAGCGGGCTGATTTAAAGCGAATGAATAGTACATGCAAGTTGTTATATTGGATAAGATAAATTATCATACAACAAGAAGTGCGTCCTTTGCAATGTACCATATATAAAATCTTGCTATTTGCTTAGTCTTTGTTTTCGTCACTGTACGTTCGTTGATTTTCCGTTTTCGTTGTTATGGTTTCTTTATACGTGTTCTGGGAGCCACGATTTCTGACTGTCCGTCTGATAATATCGCGTATTTACTGACTTTAAGAATGAAGTGTCTGATTTTGTGAAGAGTTTTTCTCTTTGTTGTGTAGCTTGTTTCACCCAGACCTTCTTCGAAATGTGAAATTGTCTGTGACTGTCAGTGAATCGGTATTCACCAGTCCCAATTAATACACCCCTCAAGTCTTTGAACTGTCCGTCCACCAAGTCATTTAAATGAGAGAAAAATTCTGTCAGAGGCTTCGATTCCACTCTACAATTTGCTTTAACACGCGGTTAACGGTACTCGCATTTGTTGTTAGTCCATTTGTCGTTGATCAAATCGAGTCGTGTAGATTCGTTTTCCTTGGTCAGCAGCAGATTTTGCAGTCTATCCTGAAAGTTGTCAATAAATTTTGGGGCAACTTCCCGATAGAAAAATTCCAAGTTATCACATATCTCTTAAAAACAAGTTGTGTCATCAGTGTCAGTAATTCCTCAAAATCCATATATTTTTTTTCCAAAAAATGATTTCTGTCCTTTTTGTTAACAGCGTCGTTTCTAAGTTTGCGCACAGTGTTTTCGTGAAGGTAACTGGTACATAAGACATGAGTAAAATTTGGAAATGCGGTTGTTATGGCTTTGACCATTGCCGTTTCATCGTCAGTTCCAATCACAAGTTTTGTCAATTCTATGTCTACTAATTTCATCTTCAAATGATGGAAAAAGTGGCAGTCACTCTCAAAGTTGCTGTTATCATGCGCGAGAACCGGTCATATAAAAATTAGTGATGTCATTACGCTGTTTAAGCACAGAAAGTTGTTTATAAGAAGTTACAGTCACATGCATGTCACAGAGGTTAAATGTTTCATCCACTCCTAAAACAGTCTGTCCAATGCATCACATATTCTTTGTCAGTTAGCTGTTCATCGCCAACAGTATATGCATGGCTTTTTACCATTAGTCCGTATTAGATTTCTTACGAAAGGAGATAGCTTCGTGTAATCATATTTTCAAGTTGCTGAATATGATCCGCGACAGTTTTTCTGTCCTGTGGTATAATTCGACTTTTCATACTTTTTTGTCCCGTATTTACTGCATTCCAGTAGGTCGCGTAACCTCGTCATATTTCTTCTTAAGCTTTACATTGATAATTTGTGGTTTGTCTGTCTGTACCATGTCTTTTATTTCTGTCATTACAAAGTCTTGTGTCCAAAAATATTCTGCTCCTAGATAGTTTTAAAATCAGGGGTGAGGTGGGCGGCTAAACCAGGAAATGTGCTCCTGTATTCTAATACAGGAAGTTGACTGCTTAATCCCTCTTCACCTAACCAAGTAAGTATTTTCTTATACAACTGATCGACTTTTAGCGTAGTATAATAGTACCTATGGACCACAACAACTCTGATTCTGGTTGCGGGTCCATAGGTATATACTTCCGCTCCATTTATCTGTGTTCTCCTTTTACTCTGAAATGATTACAGAATTGACTCTTGTAAAAATATGTTTTCTTGAGATCAAGGTTTGCACATAATAAATAATAGGATTTTGATTAAGAACCCAAAGCCAAGTTCCAACTACCGCAGTCATCACACATTTACTCTTTGATTTCTAGGTGAAATTTTTGATATTGCATCTGTTGTCAATAATAAAATATAGATTTTCTTTTTTACCGTTTGGGATTTTTTTCTAAAGAGCTTTCTGAAGATAAAAGAAGATGAACTAATTTGCTTGTATACTAAAAATGTTCCAACTTCTAGTAACCCTTTAGCAGGATTGTCCGCATTCCAGTCCTCATCCGTAAGGTTTACGTTATCGTTTTGAGCGTGTTATTTCTTCAGTCCTGCCAGCGTCGGCATTGCTGTTTGAAGGGTTGCTACTCGTTTTATTGCGATCTGCTGATGAGATTGATATTTCAATTTCACCATTCTTGTTGGAAGAGTTAGAATTACTTAAACTTACCAATTCTATTTCAGATTGCAATTTAAGAATTGTAAAAAATGTCTTGGCTTAAAAGACAAGATTGTCTGGAAGTAACATCTTCCAGATAATGCACATTTCTGGACCAGAACATTTTACACCTCTATCCTGTGCGATTTTAGTGTACGGTTTTGAGGACATCTTTAGATGCAGTTGGGGCGGATAATATGACCGTATTGACATGTTTATTGCTGCACTCAGGTATACATATGTGCCATTTCAGAATACGAATTGATGACAACTGCATTGCAGACAAGTTGTTGAGAACTGGGCGATAGACCTGTTATTATGAGTGTGTAGGAACTCTCCTCCGATCTGGCTACATTAATAAGGGTTACTGGCTTCCCACCATCGAAATCTGACCAAAGTTCTGTAAAACAACGGTTAATTCATGTAAGATTGTCATTATCAAAATGTCGATATGGCCCATGCAGTAATATTACTTTACTTCTCTTTCTCTCTCTCTCTCTCTCTCTCTCTCTCTCACACACACACACACACACACACACACACACACACACACACACACACATATATATATATATATATATATATATATATATATATATATATATATAGATAGATAGATAGATAGAGAGAGAGAGAGAGAGAGAGAGAGAGAGAGAGAGAGAGAGAGAGAGAGAGAGAGAGAGAGAGAGAGAGAGAGAGAGAGAGAGAGAGAGAGATTGACTGTTTGATAAATCCTATATTATTCTGGCTTTATTGAACTAAACGCGAGAACCTAACCTTTAAAAATCAGCCAGCATTTAATAAAAAATTATTTAAACATTAACCATTGGCTATCATTTCAGTTCAATAGACTTTCATGCGTATTTAATCCGCTAATCATATGGACTTATACTGCACGTCTGTGTACTCAAATGTACTTGAATATACTCAAATATACCCATTAAATACATTTCTTTATGTACGGCTTGTATTCTATAATTGATGAATATAAATAGTACACTTTCCCTGTTGATGATAAGCAAAGTCATTTGCAACCCGGTCCTAATAATGAACTCAAAGTTAGACAAAGTCATGCAGAAAGTCAAAGTCCGTCTGTTTATTTTTTATTATTTTTTTGATATTATATATCAAAATATTATAATTATTATTATATAATTGATATTATATATATATGAAAAGAACATGGTGTTCTTTCTACTTAATTTTAAAAAAATACTGAATTGATGTTATACATATTTGTTAAAACTTTGCGTAAAATTAACTGTTAAAAAATTTGGCGGGAACTAAACTGCATTAAAACGTCACCCATCTTAAACAAAGTGTGGCACGTGCTTGGACTGTTTAATCAACAGAGATGTTGCGATAGTTGAGTCTACTGGACAGTGTGCTACATTACGTACTCAGCCCATTATGAGTTCGGTCTTTTCTTTCGATACACCATTTATATGATAGTATGGTTGATGTAATATTCATTTTTGTATAATGGTAAATCCTTAGTTACGGATCATTATCAGTGTATATTATTGAGATTTGATAGAAGAAAACTTAATGTTTTTAATAACACAATAATAACATAATACAAAGACAATATTTAATATTACATATGACGTGTTTGAGCGTCTTTGAGTATATTTGAGTGCGTTTCAATATATTTGAGTGTATTAGAATAAAAGACGCACACGGCCTCCTATACATGATAATAATAACAGTGAAAACGCAATGAAAATATTATTATTATTTATGTTGATTGATGTTTGTAAGAAATTAAATACATATTTCAATTTCGTTTAATAATTGAAATAAAGAAGCAGTTGTTACTGACTTATTTTGAGGAAAATATGTTGTATAGATGAAGACAGTATTAAATAATGCAAACTACATTCAAAATAGTTTTGAAAGATAACTTCATTGAAAACATATTCTAACATTTAGAATAACAACATGCTAAATAAAATTGTTTAAATCCTTTTACCTTGATAAAGCTGTCCCTGCTTCATGCTCATCACCATCAAATGCACAGGATTTGCAGAGGAACTGTAGTGATTAGAAAGACCAAGATTTTAGTTCTTACTGAGACGTAAGAAATAGATCTCGAGCATGTCCGTCTATTCTATTAAAAACTTCCGTTAAGTATAAAACACGCATACGACGACGGTGTTAGGGCCAATCTAGTCACAGTCAGGTTAAAAAATATAAATCAGTGAATGAACTGGCTAAGTTTCTTAGACTTTCTATCACATTAAAGGTTTCTATTAAAAATAATCGGTTAAGGGGGTACAAGCAAACGGGTTGATATAGTTGGACTATAGGTAGAAACTAGTTTTATTGTTTGATGTCAGTCTATAGCATATACAAATTATGATCTCTTCAATTGTTCAGTCATATCGCTACGATGTCTGCAATGTGGCAGTTTGTAATGTCTAGCAATAAGAAATGCCGCAGACATGTAGCGTGATGTCCTACCCAGTCATATTATCCTGACACTAGGCCGATCTGTCCTAGCACTAACCTGTTAATACGAGCGCCAAGCGAGGCAGCTGTAAGTACCATTATTATGTCTTTGATAAGACTTGGCCGGGGTTCGAACACGCAACGTCCAGCACCCAAGGCGGACGCTCTAACCATTAAGCTATTAGAGCGGTCTGTAGAATAAGTAAATTTGTGACAAAATTAGTGGGCACACATTTTAATATTCCATTATTCTAAAAACTGTCTGATAAAAGAAGACTTGCTGATTATATGACTTCGAATGGTATTTGTATCTTTTACGAAGTTTTGCATAAATGACTTTCTATTTTGTTGGGAAAAGTCGGGTCTGCTTCATTCTTTAACAAAGAAATACATATGAGGAGATGGTCGTTTCTATTGACTCAAGAAACACATTAAACATAAGCAAAAGACAGTGTTATACAATACGAATCGCATTATCTGGTGCCAGTTTCTTTTTTTTATTTAATTCAGCTCTTCTTCTGTTTCACTTTGAGACAAATTATAAGGGATTGAAGGTTTTTTTTTATCTCGCCTAAGAATTTCTGAATTCATGTTTGAATAATGGTAATAAGTCCACCATTTAGATAACATATTATTTGTAAATCTCCTTATTCTCATTGGTATTTTAAAAATTAATAGCATAGATAATATGTATATAATTATGTAGAAGTAAATTCATTACTTGTTTGTTAGTTTTAATTTTTTATATTTTATTTTATTCTATTATATGTTATTGTAATGACAGCTATATTCACTGGATTTGGCAGTTTTGCAGAAAATTCAGTTCAGTTCTGTTTGATCTGATAAATGGGCAGTAGTAGAAACAATGTAGCTAATTGGTGTCCTAGATTCAGAGCTAATTTCAAGTTTGAAGTGAACAAATTTTGTTTTTATTTAAAAAAATTGTCGATCTGGTAGTAAGATTTGTTCAGTAGAATGAAATCCGCACCTAGCGTTCGTGATAATCGGCATGTAATGTTTATACGCTGCTCGGAGAAAGTGATCATGTGATTCCATTCGGGGATCTGTTGTTAGTTGTAGTTAGGCTTTACTCTCACATTATCATAATGATTTTGGCCAGTCTTGCTTTTAACCGTTGGAGCTCAAAGGTGTATTTGCTGTGACCAGTTTGAGTTGAATTTTTCTATGTTTCGGAATTAATAACTTATTTACCATTGCAAATACTATTGCTCATCAGAACTCTTAAATAAATACATTTATCAAAATTTATTCAGGAATTCCAAACTGGAATATTGATCTTGGTATTTCAACAAAGAACTGTTAACACATCAGGACAAAGCAGGTTATTTAAAACATCGTTTTCCATCGTGGAACCTCATCGGGATCCGAACTGGTTCACTTAGGACTTTTTATTGATAGGTCTTTATTTATTAATTCTAGGATTAATTTGGGATTAGTTTCATAAACCGTTAAGTACTTTTTTATTTTTTCTACCTTGTTGGCTTTATTCTTTTCTTTGTTACTTTTGTAACGAACATAGACACGTAACAATACGATTATATACGAGTTTCTTTCTAAAGTTTCGTGATCACAGGCGAGTATTTAATCTCGCTAATTCGGAGGAAATATATAATTGATGAAAACGTCCTAGAAGAATGGCAGATCGTTCATACCAAAAATTAGTAGAAGTTATTTTAGGTGTCCTAATATGATAAATAATTTACGATTATCTTGCTCAAATATTTGATACACCCAGCTACTCTCATGTATTTTGTACCTCTACAGATTTCATTACAATATTGAATGACATTTACAAATTAATAACGTTGCTGCTCGCACTGCAAGAGGCAAACAATTTCTATTATATAACAAATCCGAATTTATATAATAGCGCCGATAAGCCCGGAAATTATGTTCGAGTCTTTTGCTATAATTTAACAAGGGCCATTTTGCACATGATCATTTTTTATTTGTTGAAACTGAAATTAATATTGTATGTAGAAATGTCAGTCATGTCTCAGTTACGTAACTTCATATAACAAGTATATTCTTTTTTTAAAAAAAACCCCAAAATAATACAATATATGCAAAGGTAACGTCTAGTAACTGCATTTTGAGAGTTCCTTGACTTTTATCGACATTGCAAATCAACTCTTGATTTCACTGTAATGTTCGCAACCCGCCAGCGCCAATGCACCCAACAATATTACAACTGCGACGAGAGACAACGGTGATTTCCATTATGAACGTAAAATTCTAAACTACTATCTTCTTTAGTTAAATGTAGGACCAGTGAATACAAATTATGTCTCCTATTTCAACGGTTGACACAGTCAATTAGCAATTTAATTATCATATCTAGGTTGTCGAGATAGACCGAAAAGTTATCAAATAAAATCACTACACTATCAAAAAGATCGATAAATAATGTCAGTTTCACTTTGTTAGCAAGTCTACCCTTTAAAAGCAATCAACATAAGCCTGTAGTATTTGGGATTTAGCTCATTTGAACAAAATGTTTTCTATCGCACATATGGAGAAATACCTCAGAGGAAGCATTTGTTTTGCACAGAAAACATATGCAGCTTCTGTCAGAACTGTGAATTAGACATTTTGCTTATTGTTCTTACAACTTGTAATTTACACATCATATCCAATACGCAGAAAAGAAAACTTCGCGCCTAAATCTAGAGAAAAAAGAATGACATACATTTTAACATAGAATTAATTTAATGTAAATTTACAAATATTATTATATAAGGAAGAATTTTAGACTAATGATATTCTTTAGTGATATTTTTCAATTTGTAAATTAGACAAAATTTGTAGGCACTTTAGTTACATTATGTTAGGAAATAAATTCAATGATATCAGCAGTACAGCCTAGATGCATTAACCAACAGCATGTTCTAAATTACAAACACCTTAAAAATATTGTCTCATGATACAGGTTTAATAATCTGGACAATTCCATTAATACACCAGTCGCACTATGAGTAAAATATATCTAAATTGTGTACTACCCATATATTAATTATTTATGGCTATATTAAAACATTAACTTGCGTATACTATACACAAACGTTTGTCATTTCGTTTGCCAGTTTAGAGTGTAACATCGCATGCTTTGATTCTCAGAATATGTATACTTTTGTTACAATCAATGCACATCCTATGCACGCTTTTTACATTATATAACTTCGAAGATATTAATATATCTCTCACAAATTTTGTAACGCCAAATAAGTCTGAAACTAAATACATTTGAATATCTAATTAGAATGATATGGTACGTGCAAATACTTTTTTGGCAAAAGTTTCAGCTACGGAATTGCTTCATTCTTCGACTGAGATGCAAGAACTCCATCCGGTACTTGACACTTTAAATGTATGCGATTAATCTGTGTTCAGCCTTTTCCTCTTCGTGTCCATGAGCATGGCATGTAACATGATATACCAATATTCGTGGAAGACAAATGCTTTCTGAATTAAGACCGGACGCATGTCTAATCAAAATATGAAGCATGTCCAACTAAAACATGCTGCATGTCCAATTAACAAGAGGTGAATAGGATAAAGTTTCATGCATGTGTCCCACAACGGTTAAAACTATTAAGTGTAAATATTCAGCTTGATTATAAATTTACGCAAATTACAAGAAAATACGATAAATTTTAATGGTTCCAGAAGTCTGTTGAAACACTTTATCCAGATAATCAAATCAAGTTACCTGTTGAATCTGTTAATCATATCTATCAAGCTAGTACCAAATTTTCTTTTCAGAGATCAACCTTAGACTTTGTATTTTAGCCCCTATTGTCAGTCATCGTATGCAGATAAATGGGTTAATAAACAAAACACAAAGAAGGAAAGCAATAACTAAACACGCAATCCACGTCCTGTCTAGTGTGAAAAAAATCACGGACTACAATGATCACTAATGCTAATGTGTTTCCGATGAGCCATCAGGTATGGAATTAACTTCTTTAAGCAATCAGCGCTCGTTCATTAATAATGGACTACTGCAAAGATGGACATTGCGTGTATGCAGATAACGATACAGCTCGAGGAATGCCTTCGTGCGTCATTTGATGCTATTTAGAAACATAGACTGAATTTGAAAATGTTGGGATCTAATTTGTGAAGATGTTTTCTGGTTAAATAGTGTTTATTCAGTCAGTCGTGAACGACCGTGTGCCGATCTATAAGTAGTCCTTCTTTAATCTCTAAACATCAAAGCTGCAACAATTACATGGTTGTGTTTATTTTTGTGTCTGAAGCGGCTCTAATCAACCTCGTAGTCAGTAGCTGAGTTTAATATTTAAATTTTGTGTTTCAAATTTCATTGCTTAGGTCTGTGTCCTGCGCTAGGACTAAATTTAAATAAAAATCTGTGCGCAATGAAAGTGATAAGACAACATCATACTGACACCCTTGTACAAGGAAACAAAATATACACAAGACTTTTAAGATAATTTCAAAACGTTTTTAACATACTGCTGGCCAAACTAATCATAAATTTAAATTGGATTAATGTTTTTATTCTGATACATCATTGCAGAGTACACATGACGACGTCCAAAGACATACTGAGATGTAACTGTCCTGATGTCAACTTCACAGTCACATATAAATTCTTGCTCAATATACCTGCATATATGAATCAACTGCCTATTGCTTTTTGTAATTGTCTTTCATTGTTCCAGTTAACTGATTAAAGCAATTTTTTAGGACAATTTTAAGAATTAATGGAAGTCCTCGGTATGCGTGCATGACTTTCAGTGATAGGTTAAATATAAATTATGACGATTGCGTCTATGGTTGGTTGATGTCCATGCTGTGTGTTGTGGGTGGATAGGGATCTAGTTGATTAAAGAATAATTACATAATACGTATTTGATGCATTTAGATATTTGGTGCTGACTGTATTATGCATATGTGTCTCTTAGCATAGAAAACTGTAAAGGTATATATAGAATGTAGGTTCATTGTACCACAAACAGAATGAGGTATTCATTGTCAAGCTGCTAATATTTGAACGATTTTAAAATTTCAAATTTATTGCCTGTGTCAGCAACCAGATAGATTTGATATATCAGTACTGTTGACTTGGTTGCCATCTCTATTCAAATTCTGCATAGACAATCCTATAACAAAATAAATCTGTGGGATGACAAACTGTAA